CGTGACGCGCGCGAGAGAAACGTGCGAAAGAAGCGCGAGATCAAAAGATGAAAATTCAAAACAAAGATGGCGGCGCGTGGAATTTTTTCTACTTTTGTTAGAAGTTTACCTAGCTGTGTGATAATTTTCTTAGCAGTAAACGTCTGTAAACAGATCCTGTAAACATCAGATCGTAGGCGCTCGCGCGAGCACGCGCAATTGTCAGCGGTAGCTACAACAGATCATGAGCAAATGTCGATCTTATTGAATCCAAATTTTTAAATGCGCGAGAACGCGCGTGGAAATTGCTAAACTCACGAAAGCTATTGCATGAAAACAAGTCCGGTGACCCCTTCTTTTTATTGTTCCAATATGATGATAACGTCGAAAGGAATCATCAGAAAAAAAACTAGAAAATTCTACGGAAGGAAATTTGCGATGTGTGAAAATTGCCTTTTTTCTAGATATTCTGAAATTCCGCTCCGTAGAATTTTTTAAAAATCTTTGTGCATTTTCCTTTTCAAGTGCCAAAAGCAATCACTGAAAAAATCATGGGGTCACCGGGTTAGTTTTCGAATTATTTAAGCCACAAGCTAAAAAATGCGTCAGAATAAGCCTATGAAAGTGTTGCCATGGAAACTACTAGTGACGAAATGACAGCTATTTTTGGATAACCAATGATTATATAATTCAACCCCGTAAAAGTGTTCAACTGGCCTTGGTCAGTCTTTCTGTTGTATTCTTTCAAAGTTACAAACCATCAGAAAGACGAATACCGGTACTAGCCACCTTACTAACCTTTCCATTGATATATAGTTTATGGTGGTTACGCTTTAAATAGCGCGGTGACAATTTTTTTCGCGAAGGACACCCGCGAGGGTCTACTACTGTATCCTTAAAACTCCGGAAATGATATTATTCCATACAAACTATCTTTGCACGAAAAAAGGCATTATGAGAAGAAATACTTTTCAGGTGGAACATTAAGAGGTATTTGGAAAACTCAGTAAAAGCAATCACGCCAAAAGCTACTAAAAATCTTCTGCATTTCTGATTAATTAAATTTAACGCAATATTGTTCAGAATTTATGCCACGTACGGTTATTTACAATTTCTCGATTGACCGAAAAATTCTCAATCGACAAAAACATTCTCGATCGACAGGTAATTTCTAGATCGACAGGAAATTTCTCAATCGACAAAAAAAATTCTCGATCGACAAAAAAAATTCTCGATCGGCAAAACAAATTCTCGATCGACAAAATTAATTCTCAATCTACCAAAACATTCTCAGCCAGTAAAAAAATTGTTTGACCTATGAAAAAGTTTCCTCGATCCTTTAAAATATTTCTGGACTTCCACAATATTTCTCGTCTGAGAGAATTATTTCTCGACCAATTGCAAGGAAAAAGTTTTCCCAATCGTCAAAAATATTTCTGGACCATCGAAAATATATCTCGAAAGACAAAATTATTTCTCGGCCAACAAAATTATTCTCGACCACTTTTGTCCAGTATGACTTTCCATAGAATTCATAGAAGTTTCAAATTCCCATGCGTTAACTTCACGTTCTCTAGAACATGACAAGGTCATGAGCACTTAAGAAACGTCTGTCACTTTTCTCGACATCAACCCTTTTCGGTACAACTCCCACGCGGACGATAAGGCTACAGTATTACCGACCTCTTTCAGGTTTAAACCGGTTACTGTAGAAACTGGAGAAGCTTTTTGTACTCGAGTTTCCGGAATAGATTAAAGATTGTTATTTTCTGTGACTTTTAAGCTTTAAGATGAAGCAAATATACCAGAATGAATGAGTTCCAAGTTACTTACGATTACGTTCTTTCGGTATGAAATCTCCAAAGGAGCGGACCTTGTAGCGGTAAACATAATAATAATAATAATAATAATAATAATAATAATAATAACACTTATATAGCGCTTATTCGCCTTCAAATATCAAGTTTGATGGAGCGATATCACGGCTGCTGAGTATACTGCGCAGCTTCTTGAAATTTTGATAACGGATTGAAACGTTGCTCTTTTGTCAGATTTTATCCGAGGGATTTTTCTCAGATTTTTCCAAGGGACTACTTCACCCTCCAACTCCCATAACTGAAAAAGACAAAGTCGAGCTTCTTTTTAATATACCAAGC